CAAGCGGCTAGTGTAGACAGCTGGCAAGTTTTTCCGGAAAAGCGGCTGATTTTCCGGAAAACTGGCCTGTCTAGACATAGCCCTTGTGTATATGTGTATGCAGGCAGTCCCCGGGTTACGTACAAGATAGGGACTGTAGGTTTGTTCTTAAGTTGAATCTGTATGTAAGTCGGAACTGGCGTCCAGATTCGGCCGCTGCTGAAGCTGATCAGTTTCAACAGTGGGTGAATCTTGACGCCAGTTCTGACTTACATACAGATTCAACTTAAGAACAAACCTACAGTCCCTATCTTGTACGTAACCCGGGGACTGCCTGTACATACAGTAGATGCTGTATTCAGTGGTCCAGCTCTCCAATCCACATAACCTGCCACGTGAAAAAATTCTGATTATGTCCATTATGGTAGGTGATTTGTAAACTATTTGGTGGGCCACTCCATTACAACTGATTCCATGGTCTTTCCACAAGCAAAATTTATGCTGAAGTAAATAGGAATTAAGGATTGGTGGTCTGACTCAATTGGCAAAAAGCAGAAACATAAGCAAATTTATACAAATAGCTGTAACTTCGGTAGATTAACTAGAATTTTATATAAGAATGTTTTTCACTTTAGAAGGGGGGGACTAACTCAATGTTGTCAGCAGTTTTCATGAATAATGAATGCTTTGTACTTAAAAAGGGCATGATCCACACCTCGATTTTTAATCTACTTGAACAAATGTATAGCTGACACAACTGGAGATAGTTGATAAGAATCTAAGATACTACTATAAATTTAGTATTTTCAATTTTGTTCAATGAAAAGGGGAAATAATCTATAATCTGAGACCTGTGTAGGACAATGAAGGAGAATTGTTTTCTATGGCTTTTATTCTTGCATATCTGTCTATTCAAAGTTATTCTTAAAAAATTCACCAATCTAAACTAAAAGTCATCACATTTATGACCGTGTCAAAAAATACAAAAAATGTTTACATTTTAGCTTCCCATACTGGAAGTATCTGAACTGAATAAATAACAGAGTAGGTTACTTTGCGTGTATACTCAAAGTTTAAACGAGAAATAAAAATATATAAGTAAGTGAAGTTATGAGAGAGTTTGGGAGAACTGGAGAAAGGAAAACACATATACTTTTTAAATGGGCAAACCTGAGAGAATTCAAGAAAAGAAACTGAAGAGACACCCAGATTCTCATTTCTTTAAATAGATAATTAATTCGAGATACCAATGTTCCTTTAAATATCACATTCCACATTCTCATTCAAGAGTGAATTATCTCAAATGTAAACATTTAACAAATAATGGAACACTTAGTACACAGATTGCTAGTTTAAACTACTAAGTACATACTCTCCTAGAGAAACATGACCAGGCATGTGCTGTACACATTCCAAAGAACCTTCCTTTTTCAATCAACCATCTTTCAGTTTTTTTAGAACAAGTATTTTACTACAGTATACAAAGAGTAAACAGAATTTAAAAATCCAGCCTGATTACTTGTTCAACATAAACTATAGTAACTAAAACAAAAAATGCTAAGCAATGCAACATAGGCTGTTGTGGAGAACAAATTTGGTTCACTCTATGGACATGTCTAGACTACATTTTACTTTCGAAAGAAGATACGCAAATTCGCTTTTTTGAAAGAGTTTTTTTTTTCCTGAAAAAGCAAGCAGTCTAGGAGCAGTTCTTTCTAGAACCCCCCCTTTTTTCCAAAGGAACTGTAAACCTCAATTTTTGAGGAAGAAGGTTCTTTTGAAAAAAAGGTTTTTTTTTTTTTAAAAAAGAACTGTATCTAGACTGCTTGCTTTTTCAAAAAAACTCTTTTGAAAAAGCAACTGGAAGAAGATATGCAAATTCTGCCAAATTTGCATATCTTCTTTTGAAAGTAAAACACAGTCTAGATGTGCCCTATATGTGATAGCACACAACTATACTGAAAACCCTCTTTCAAAGATTTTTAAAGCTGTGGAAACAGCTAGATGGCAAGAGGAATGGGAAAACTCAATTTGGTGTATATTGAATGTTCAATACAGAGTTTAAGGTTTGTCTATGATTTCACTCCTTGCATACTAAGAGCTCACTTGCCTTCTCAATGACCATTCTTCTTGCCTATTTCCTACAGTCTCTCATACTTTAGAGGGATCTTAATTCATATACTGTCATCTTATATCAAATAAATAAAACAGCATTTTAATGGAGTCAAAGCTTTTTTAAGGTCAGCACTGCTACAAATCTTATGATGTATTTAATATAAGCCTAAGCCACTGCACCAATATACAGGCAGTCCCCGGGTTACGTGGATCCGACTTATGTCGGATCCCTACTTACGAATGGGGCTTTTCTCGCCGTGGAGGACACGGGCGGCGGGACCGCCCAGACGCGCCGCAGTCCCGCAGCCCGTGTCCTCCGCGGCGAGAAAAGTTGCTCTGCGTCTCCCTGGTCTGCTGGGGGCGCCCCCCTGCCCAGCAGACCAGGCTTTTCTCACCGCAGAGGACGCAGGTGGCGGGACCGCCAAGACGCGCCGCGGTCCCGCCGCCCGCGTCCTCCGCGGCGAGAA